ATCTTCCTCAGACAGATGCTGATCCAGAGGCTTCGGCATATGAAGCTTTGCCTTTTAAAATGGAAATCCAAGGGTGGCTCCAGAAACATTTCTGCTTTCGCCTAAAGACAAGGTAAGTCAATTCCCTATGCACTTACTATTTTTGCTCACATAGAATATTCTATAGAGACTGTTTTAGTTTTCTTCTTAAAGGTAACTTCTGAATGTAAATCTTGGCCGCATATAAAATATATAATAATAATATTAAATGTTTATGATCTTGTGGAGCCACATTACCAGCTGTCCAGGGCCACATCAATCAATTATTAATATTATTATACGTTGGTTAAAAGCAGGTTTTAAGCAAGTCAGAATCTACATAATGTGAGGGCTACAATATAAAAGAAATTATGATAGCAACACAAAACATGGCATTCATTCAATTATTAGATTGAAATGCTGCCTTTCCTTCATAAATTCAAGGTTGCACAAACCTTTTTGTGTCCATTTCTTTTCCTGCAACAAATCTATGTGACAAGTTGAGCCAAGACATAACCACTGGCTCAAATTTATGAATGTCCATGGCCGACAAAGGCACAATTACAATTGTCAGCTCTAGGAGAAGTGAACATTATGTTGCTGCTTTTCATGTAGCAGGATTTAGAAACAAGATTCACTAATTCCATTAGAGGACATAATAAGACACTCTATAAATTAATTAATTTTGCAACTTACTCCACTGCACTGCAGGCTTGTCATCCTTATTGATGTTCCACTGAAATACAGCATTTACTTTCTTCACCAGCTCATTTCCAACTTCTTTGATACGGCGACCAATTTCTTCAAAAATAAGATTGCTCTGCAACTCTGTTGCCTAGCATATAAATTGAATGTTCTCTGAGAGATATTGTGGTTACCAAATCACCCAAGCCCGGCTCATGTCCATATTATTTAAATCAGCCACTTTTATATAACATTATGCCCCCCTCCCCCACTAATAGAGAATAACTAAACTGAAAGAGAAATGAGATTAATATGCTACTATTCATTAAATCAGGGAACAATTCAAGTCATTCATAACCTGATCACCTAAAAAGCCTTATATGGCATAGGATACAGCTACTTTGAGGCACTGCCTATCTTCCCTAATATCTGCCTGTCGACTTGCATCCAATAGGGTTTCTGTGCTCTTTCCTTCAACTGAACAATGCCATCTGTAAGTGCACCTTCCTGTCTTGTGAAATGAGGTTCCTCCTGAGATTCAGGTAATTCTCATAGGAGTAATGTCTCGGAGAGCCTTCAAGACTTGGCTCCTTGCCCATGACTTTAGCTAGGAAGGGCATAGCCTCTTTTGAGGAGGTGTGTGATTTGTTGCTAGCTTTTTCATCCATATTTTTTCCATTTCACCATTTATTGCTGTACTGTTTTATAATTCTACTATTTTTCTTATGATCAATTGAGCAGTGTACGAAATAGAAATATGTAACAGAATAGTAGAAACATACCAGATTTTGAGCTAAATCATTATGGAAGACTACTGTGCAGATAAACATTTTGCCTATCGTACAGTCTAAAGACAAAGTATTTTTGAACGTTGTAGCAACCAAATATATTGGTTGAATTATAGAATAGCATCTCTCAATAGAATACATTTTTCATATTTTTGTCATGACTCTATATACCTCTAGGATTGAGGTATATTCAGGGTGTAGATATCTAAGTCTATTTCACTAATTGTAATGCTCTTATACACTTTGGGATGTAGCCCATTTAAGTGATATGAAACAATTTAAAAGTCTTTTTTTCTAACCTGAAATATTCAGATTATCCTCCCTTCCAATTTATGTTCTCAATCTCTCACTCGCCAAAGAAAATGCCAAGACTATTGGATTAAAAATACACCGTTCTTATATGTTTGAATATTATTAATAAGCATTGATGCTCATACATAGAAAGAGTTCAATTTAGAAAACACGAGAGTTGACCATATAACTAGCAAGAAGAATATGAGTGGCTAAATGAAAGTGGCCTCAACAGCTTAAATAAAATGCAGAGCCAGAATTCTCACAGAGCAAATAAACAGATATTGGCTACATGTAAACAGGCAATATAATTTGGACTTTAGTGGAAGTGTGAATGCTATATGCAAAAGCTGTTGCTATTTCTGATGGAAAGCAGACATAAGAAAACATAAATCTGGAGGCCATCATACCAGAGGCTACTTGTGTTTTTCCTACCTTAGGCTCCTTAGCTGAAGGCTGCATAGAAGATGACACTAGATCCACATAAGCTCCTGCAATTGCAACATTCCCAGTTTCTTTGACCTGTAGAAGGGGGGAAAATGGAAGTGGGTTTTTCATCTCCATTACATCACAATTATAAACAAGGTTAATTGTTATGCTTTATGTCAATTGAGAAATCCTCTCCATTCCTTTCATTGCACAATTTAGGTCAACAAACTAAGCAACAGTATGAGGGGAATGAAAAAGTGAAAGAATTAGAAATCATAAAAAAGCAAACCTTCCTAAACATAAAACAATTGTGCTTGCAACTATTCATTATGATAATTCAAGTATCAGTTAATGAAAGAAAATCTACAACTCCTGACACAATTATGGATAAAACCCGCACGCACAGAAAAGAATCACTTCTAGTATTAAATGTAGATTTATAAAGAGCAGGCTGCATATTTTAAGCAAACTGCAAATGGAACAACAAGCTTCTAGCATTTAATAAACTGCAGCCATTTAACTTGGAATCTGTTTTGTTTGTTTCAATAAAATACACTTTACGTTTTTCAAAATCTTTATTTACTTCAACAGTTCCACAGCAATAGCTCTTCTCAGTTTGCTGTGGGCTTTTTACAAAAATACAGGAAGAAAATGTGTTTTAGAAAAATTGAGATGAATGAAAAATAAAAGTTGGAGGGGGTGGGTGATGCCAAGAGACTCCAAGCCAGGGGCAGTATCAACAAAGCCTATTTACATGGATCTTTTTTTAAAGGCCAACAAAGTCTGAGTGCAGCTTTTAAGAGAAGAGAGATTCAAGCACATGAAACAGGAGCTTTTAAAAGCTATTTTAATTCTTTTCTCCCTGACTTTTAATGTAAGTTTAAAAGACAAGATAAACTCTTCAAAGCAATGGCACTTAAATTATTATATCAAGTCCTATGAAGGGAAAAAAAGAAGTGAAGGCGATTATCTAGCAATCCGACAGAGCACATGACAAAAATCCTAGTTTCTGTTTATCTGCAGTTAAAAATAAGGATTGGGGAAGTGATCAGAAAAACTTTCTTTAAACCTTAGATTGCTCCCTCCAGCTAGGGCAGGAAGTAAGGTCAAGTATCTTACGATATAAAGTAACTCTAAATTCTCCATTTATTTATTTATTTATTTATTTATTTATTTATTTATTATTTATTTATTTTTAAACACTCATTAGTGGGAAGACAGTAGCATTGACCAATCAGTCAGTTTTGGAGGACACAACAGAATGTCAAGTGGAATTTCCTCAAGGGCGTTACTTAGGGGCAGGTTGGTCAGGAAGCTGGAGAACTAGTTGGAAGACATGCAGAGAAGGCCACCGTGAACCAGAGTTCCATTCCACATTGACTTGTCCTGTCCTTGTGTCCATTCCTATGTTTGCCCATGGTTTAATACAAATCGTGCCTAAGAATAAATGTCATTATGGCTCCAACCCAATTTTGTCCATGGCCATACATGCATCTGTCTAGATATTTATTTTAATCTCGAACATTGCTTCTCTAGCCCACAAGCAACAGCAGCTTATCAGATGGGAATAGAGAGGACTGTCTAGAATGCCAGGAATACGAAACTATTCACTTTTGAAACTGAAAAAAAATAATACTGGTGCAACAAACCACCTCAACATGAAACCTAGACATATGTTAGGCAACTCACACTATTCTTGGTCATGAGGATTGGAATTGTAACACAGCACACCCAGAAGACACAGTGTAGTGTTAAAACAGGTTTCAAAATGGAAAAATGGAACTGGGGTTATTGTTGGGTACACCATGTACAGTAAATGCTGGTAATTAAAGTGGAATGTTCAGGGAATGAGAAATCTTCATTATATTCTAAAAGTGTTTTTATTGTTAGTATTGATTATCTAAAAACAAAATATGAATAATGTGAACATGTATCAAAATCTATAGGCTGAATTTAAATATATGCCTACATGATTTATCCTTCCACTTTTCATCAAAAAATTTCCTTATCCCATATCTAGAATTCTCCACATGCAGTTTTAAACTGTTTTAGACACTAAAAGAAGTTCATGCTTATATGTTTAGGAAGTCTGGATACAAAAAGACGCATCTTAGTTTCTTCTGTTTATTCCCCAATGAAATCAGTGAGATTTGTACAAACACTATACTTTTGAGACTCTGACCTTGGTTTGAATGTGAATTCTATTTCCTTCCTTCCACATTTCTGTTTGCAAAGTTTGCCCTGGGAAAACTGGTTTTGCAAAACGAATCTGTCATAATAAAAAAAATCAAAGAAATTAAATATAGGTAAAACATAATTGCATAACACAAACATTTGCAATTTCTGCCTTTTTGCTACAAGAAGTCACATGTAAGAAAGAAAGAAAATGCAGACAACTTTGTTGTGAAGATCCTGCATAACTTCATCAAGCCAGTATGGGCATCTAAGGTGTTCTAGGTTAGGCGTTATCTGTGCCATGCGGATATGGCTAGGGCAATTGGTAAAGACTGTCCTACTGCTATGACCTCCTCTTTTTTATATAATAACTGAATATCAGCATGTAGAAAATAAAAACTGAAAACAGTTTTATGGAAACTTTTATAAAGCACTCTGGAATATGTAAACTGTATTTAAGAGTTAATGAAAAGCAAAAAAAAAAGTATTTCATTAGCTGTTCTAAAAAAAGATATGATTGGTGCATATTTGTACATTTGAGGCACATTTGGAAATTTAATATTAAGAAAAGCGAATAATGGTTGTGAAACTATTCTCAAAATTAAGTCTCACTGTGGAATAATTGCTAGGATTGGATATTATAATAAGCCAGAACCGTAGAGTCTTGAATTATCAAGAAATCCACTTGTTCCTTCCTGTAGTCAGGAGAAGCTCAAAAGTCATTACAGTTCAATTCTTGCTTTATCGCTGCAGGAGTGGAAAATGTACGGACCCCAGAGCCTGCTGAATGACATCTTAATGATGGATGAGCCAGTGTGGCCCATGATAAAGGGTTCTGGCAGTGATAAGTCAGAAACATCTTAGGAGCCATAGATTCCCCATAGGATGTACCAAACTGGAAATTGAGGTTTGTTTGTTTAAACAAAAATAGTAACTTAAAAACCAAACAATGACTTTTTCTGGCTTGTTTGAACAGCATAGCATACCACTTTTGTAATTTTAAGAACTGTATTTAAGAAAAGTAATCTTCTATACTTAATGAAAACACAAACACATACAGACCTTAACTGCCTTGAATTTGGTCACATCATTATTAGCAAAGTGTTTCAAAACATGCCTGGCAGCAAATCCCAAAGTGCAAAGTCCATGCAATATGGGTTTCTGAAATCCTATTAGGAGAACACAATTTTTTTTCTAAGAGTTTATTTCTTATTTACATTCCTCAGTTTAAACACAGACTCTAGGGATCATGACTATTTATTGTTTTACAAACCTATTCATATGCACACACGCACACAGAGTTAGAATCTGTCTGCCAGCAAAAATTCTGAAATTAGTACAGATGGCTACATGAAATAATTGCAATATAACACATTGCTGGCTAAAGGACTGTAATCCAGTCACTCTCCAAAGCCTCAACTGGTGCATAACACAGCAGCCAATTTGCTAACCAGGATTCACAGTGTGGAACTGGAGAGAACAAAGGATATATATATATCATCAGATCAAAGCCTGCCTTATGGAGTTTTTTGATCCATGAAGATGCCAACAGAAAGCCAATAAACAGGCCATAACTATAATAGCACTGCTTGTGGATTCCAACAGTTGCATATATTGTAATATATAGCCTTGTAACTAGGACTCAGAAACAGCTTTATCCCCTATGAATTTGCCCAATCTCCCTTTAAAGCCACCTGATGTTAAAACTGGCAACATATCTTGCAATAGTAAATTCCCTTTATTTTTTTGGAGAAATAAAAGGTACTGTGCAGTTAATTCTGGTTGTATTTAAATGCTGTGATCTATGAATGTCTTGACCTCCAGTGTATGAAGGACAATATTTCCTTTTAGGAAATTTCTTCTTTATTACATTCTACTTCCAGGCTGAAAAAGTGGCTAAAAATATCTGCTTGGTGACACCGTTTATGGAACATCTTTTCCAAGAACGCAGCGTTATTTTTCTTCTTCTTTTGGTATTAGATAAAATTAGTCATTTCTCCCACCCTTCAACGTTTCATTGTTTCAATCACCACAAGTTAATTTTAGATAAATTTAGTTTTCTCAATGCACTCAATATTTCTTTTGATGACTGTCTCTAATCTTGAAGAACAATAATTCCCCCCCCCCAAACGGTTGTTACTGTTATACATTTGAAACATTCTTTCATGTCTCTAAAAACACCATCGTATTTTACATAAGGGAAAAACAAAAGCAACTTACAGCCATTTTATACCAGGGAAAGAAGACTGTTTGCTACAATTCAAACATTCTAACCCAGTGTTTCTCAACCTTGGCGACTTTAAGTCCCGTGGACTTCAACTCCCAGAATCACCCCAGCCAGCAGACTTAAAGTCGCCAAGGTTGAGAAACACTGTTCTAACCCTTAATTATATATTTTTTTTCAAAAAATGACATTTTTTTTAAAAAAAAAGTAATCGTCATTCATTTTCTTGGAGAAGCTACTCAAACTCACCTGCAACGGCTGCAAACCCAGGGTCAATGTGCAAAGGATTCCAATCGCCACTAAGCCGATACAAGGCAGCCTACAGAACAAAAATAATTCGAAAAACATGATCAACAAATAAATAAAAGTTTACTTTTTTTCCTGGTGACTAAGAACAGAATCTGCTCCAAAATGCATTCATTTGCAATGCACTCTACAGTTTCTCTTTCCATACCGACGGGAAATAAAGTGACTAACATCATAAAACAAAAGTTGTTAAAAACAAACAACAACAAATTTCAAGGAACAGAAGCTAAGCAGGAGGTGTCTGTCACAAGGCACATCACTGGTGCTGTAACACAACCAAACAGGCTCAATTCAGTTGCGTTTCTTGGCACAACCATCAAGCCAGAATGGAAAGTCTTCTGTGTTTTCATCCTTCAGAACAGATTGACGCAGTGTACGGAGTGTATGTCTCCTGATTCAGCTCAACGGGCTGGGATGGCACATAGAATGAGAGATGGAGAAGGTTTCTATACAACTTTATTTTGAATCAACTACTCAACCACAACAATTTGTAAACAAACAAACAAAGAAACTGAAGCATGTCAATTGAGCTACTAATTACAGTGTCAAAATCTGAGAAGTTGGTTCCAGTTCTGTTTCAATATACTACTACTGCTATCTATATGAAATACAATGCTTTTGGAATGTTTTATTTAACATGTCAGCTAAGTCAATTATGCTATTTTGCAAGACTCTTCCAAATGCTCTATTTGACTTTTTTTCTTCTTCTTCACAGTGTCCAGTGAGGTGATAGCATCTATCTGACCTGAACTGGGTTCAGGGAAAAAAGAAAAGCAGGTAAGAAGAGTGAAATCAGTTAATACAGAACTTAGATGATCACTCCCAAATCCTAGGGCTTTAGGCTAGACAGAGAAGCTCCAAATCTTGGAACAAGGCAACATCAAGCCACTTCTGCATTATCGCCATGAAACCACATAAACAACACGACATTGCTAACCATGAAGATCTGTTTGACAGAATATTTGCTTTGGTTTGATAATAATGAGGAACCATCTTCTGTCTAAGGAGAATGAATAGTATTCATTGAATTTAGATTTGAAGAAGAGACCAAATGTTATTTGGAGTATGACAAAACTTAAGATTTCCTAAGCCTTCAGGTATGTCTGTCTTGTGTGTAATTAAGTTGTGGTGTTTTGTTTTTGGTTTTGTTTTGCTATAGGGGCTGGCACATGAAAAATGAGTTTGCTATTGTTGCACATACAAACATGTGTTTGTTGCACACACAAAAACGTGTGTGTGACTGTATGAGTGTGCGTGTGGAATTTGTGTGGGTGGAGATATATAGTTGTACCAAATTCATATTTAAAGAGACACTTCAAAATCAAGACAGATGCTCTAAATATAACCAACAGCAACATTTTGGATTCTTTTTCTTCCATGAAAACCTTTAGCATTTATGCCACTCTTTATTTCTTTTCCATCTTCAGACTGACCCTCTGGGCAGAGAATATTCTTTAGGCACATATTAATATTCTTTTTCCATAAGCTATATGTGCAACTGAACAAACCTTAAATTTATGCCTCATGTTTCTTCCTGATAATCCAAATGCTGTTTGTTACTGCATATTTATATATTTTCAGCTTAAGAATTGCTATTAATTTTGGAAAGCTAAGATTCTGGTTTTGCTGTATAAATTTTTGACAAGATAACTGACACATGAAAGAACTCAATGGGATCAGATCTGCAATGCTGTTAAGCTATGAAGATCCAGAAGAATCACTTAGGTTCTTGCATGTGATTCTCCACAGTTCATTAAAAAAAAATCCATATTACGGTACAGTAAGGTCATCTGCGTCAGAACATATATTTACTAAATTCCACATCTGAATAAAAGAATTAATTGTAAATATAGTGACATAGTAACCAGGTCTAAAGAGACATATTTGGTCTTTGGTCTATAAACTGCACTGGAGGAATCTTCAATGGAAGAAAATAACAGTCCACCATATCTGGAGGTTGACGAAGGCTGATGTACAGTTAGAGTGAACTTGCTCATATGTTAGTATATGTTACTTTACTATATAACTGAGACATTTAGGACTGATGGGGAGCAGGCAGCAACCAGATGTTTCTTAAGGTAGAACTAGAGTATATAAGAATGCAGAATTGTTGCAGAAGCATAAAGGTTCCCCTCGCACATATGTGCTAGTCGTTCCAAACTCTAGGGGGCAGTGCTCATCTCTGTTTCAAAGCCGAAGAGCCAGCACAGTCCAAAGATGTCTCCATGGTCCTGTGGAAGGCACATGGAATGCTGTTACCTTCCCACCAAAGGTGGTTCCTATTTTTCTACTTGCATTTTTACATGCTTTCGAACTGCTAGGTTGGCAGAAGCTGGGACAAGTAATGGGAGCTCACTCCATTATGTGACACTAGGGATTGGAACCGCTGAACTGCCGACCTCCTGATTAACAAGCTCAGCATCTTAGCCACTACGTCCAGAAGCATACAAATCGCTTTTTATAGATTGCTATATACAACTTGGCTTCATTTGTTTGTTTATATCCTGCCTTTATTATTTTTGTAAATAATTCAACATACTGGTATCTAATACTCCTCCCTTCTCATATTTTCCCCACTAAAACAACCCTGTCAGAAGTCACCCAGCTGGCTTTCATGCCTAAGGTAGGACTAGAAATCACAGTCTCCATGTATCTGCTCTGGTACTTTAACCAATAGACCAAACTGGCTTTCAAATTTGCCACTTGCTTAATTAATGTTCATACTTCCAAAAATCACTTTGCCATGTCGAATGAGCCTTTCAAATTCTGTCTTAGTTAAAAGTAATTTAAAGCACAGATAAAATTGGTGAAAGGGAACTGAAAAACAAAAGAAAGAAAAATATGCAATTTTTGCATGCCCACAACAATGGTATTTCCTTTCATTTTCAATATCATGTAAAAATGGATCCCTCTCTGGACCATGACAAAAATCAAATCATTAGGAGCAATAGACTGAAGTCAGTTGTGATATGGTTCGATTGTTCTCCAATTAATAACAGAAACTGTCAAATTTTATTTCCTAACAATTTAGACGTTCTGCCAGATCAAAAGTGGAAAAACAATATCCAGTCTGTCTGTAGCAATTTTTCAGTATTGCCAGCTGTCAACAGTAAAGGTTACATGCAAAACTAACATAAATTGAAGCCAACAATATCAGCATGCATTATTTTATGAATGAGAGAAAATGAACCAGTCTCTCCCTTTCTCTCAAGTAAAAATTGTTTTAATCAAATATACCTCCAGATCTAGAATAAAACAAACAATCATAGTGGCATAGTGTAGATAAATAATTAATAAAGGTAAATTGGAAGATATGTGGATCCACAACTTAATTTCTTATCCCATTCCACTTTGATAAAGAGCAGTCCTGCCCCTATCTGGTGGAGGATTACAGTTCTCAAAAAAGGAAAATGGTGAAGACTTTTTGTTGCAGTACTTTTTTACAAAAGCACTGAAAATTCTTCTCTTCCCTTAATTACAAAATATAACACATACCAATGCAAGTGTACATGTGGCATTTTATAGAGCTCTTCATAATAAAAACTGAAAGAAGCTATGTGGATGGGAGTATCACGTGCACATTTTCCCATTTATCTATTCTTGTGTGAACACCTGCACAGAACTAGGTTCTCATTGGCCTCTTGCTATCAATCTAAAACATACCAATGAAAGGCTACATTTAGTGTAGCCAAATTCAAGTTGGTCCTGAGTAAAATGATTAGGATTGTTATTTGACTTTCTGCTTGAGCACCAAATAGTTTCAAAAATATTTATAGTGGAGAAGAAAATGTGTGAAAACTGAATGTCTTGAAAGTATCACATATTTAAAGTTTAAAATAAAGCTCTTGAAAGTTTGACTTTTTATGTAAGCAAAATATGTTGTATAAGAGAATGTACTTGGGGATAGAAAAAATATCAGTAGCTTCACATACACACACACATATAAAAGGGAATGTTTGCTCTGAAAATTGATATAACAAGGGATGCTATAAAGATAAATTCCGTTGTCAAATATTAAACATTTGTGTAAGAGAGAAAACACAATGTCTGACAAATCCCTTAAGCTACAGTTTTATCCCCTATCATCTAGAAATCAACACAGTGACTAAAGGACACTTTAAAAAAAACCTCTAAGCTAGAATTAGGTCTGCCCTTCTGCAAGATTAATCCCATACAAGATTATTTTCTATAATAACAAACAGCAGCACTGTGAATTAAGGCCAGCCCTCTTGTTTAACTCCATAACCCTATCAAAGAGCAGCTGAAATAGCAAGGGAAGAAAAACAAAAATAAAAGAACACCAAAGCATCCAAGCCTGTGTAATTTGTAGAGGAAAAAATCAATCTATGGCAGAAACAATATACATACATTTGCGGCATGTCATGTTACCAAATTAAAAGCAAATATTACAAAGACCCACAGGTTTCAGTTTGACAATGAATCTCCCTCGCCTTCCTTGAAGTTGAGCAAAACTTTGAGATGTGGAAGGATAGGAGGAAGAGAATTAAACTAAAGATGAGGTAATGAAACCGATATCCATACATATCCATGTTCTGAGAATGTTTTTGTTTTCCTGAATCAGAGAGGCTATTACAAGTATCCTTTTAAAATATTTAACAGGCACATATTTCTGCTCATAAATTTCTGCTGTAAGATATACAGTCCTGGGATGCAGGTGCTGCTGCTACTGAGTTGGCAAAAGACCTGTTTGGTCTGTTAAGTCCTTTGAAATCTTCTTTTCTTTTATGTGACTAGGCTGCTGTCTGGATTCCTGGCTATGCTGTTTATTGCTATGCTACTCCACAGCTTGTTTATGCTTACTATAAGAGTTGAAAACAAAGAGGTCGCCATATGTAGAACATCTGAAGTTTCCCACCTCCCCCAATCTTTAATAGTATACTTTAAGTAGCATTTTAATATCCAGCACAATTCAATGCAATTACAGTAAGAGACATAATAACAGAGGCCAAACTGAACCCAGATTAGGAATAGTATGAATTGTACAGGTCACCA